TCAACTGGCTTGGAGGCAGTGAAAAGACGGCCTTGTAAGGGGAGGACGATGAGTTGTGGGCTGGGGAAATGTCTGCATCGACCAAACCTTCTTCCTTCTCATCTCCTCTGGTGCTTCTGAGGTCTCCCTGCTTGGGGAAGGTGGAGAACGAATTTCCCTTCCGGCTGGGGTCGAGGGCCTACGGTAGTGAGCCCTATATGCCACCCAGAGGTCCCCTTGCATGGGAAAGGGCATTGTTGGACACAACCAGGGTTGCCCGTACCATTTTTGCATCTTACAAGGTTGGCGAGATTTGGTCCTAATAGCTTCCCATGGTGGTCTTCACCCCATGAGTGAAGCGTGTTGGGAGGAGAAGTGTCTCCCATGTAATTCCTCCTTTTCATCACTGGAGATGGGCTGGGGAGCGCAGGAGAAGTGGGCAACAGCTCAGTTATTTGGCCTGGAGATCCCTTGTTACCAAGCAAGGGTGACTGCAGCACTGAGGAGACCACTAGGACCTTGTGCTGTGGAAACTGCTGCGTAGCCACTTGTTTCTGTGGCGGCGGTGCCGCTGGTGCAGATGCAGTCAGTGCCTTTGTCAAGATGGTCGGTGCTGTTTTCAGCTGGTCACGTCAGTGCCTAAGACTGAGTCGGTGCTGGTGGGGGCAGCACTGCCTGTGGTACCACTCTCAGTGCCGACTCCTGCACCGGGGTGGTCAGTGCCGTGGAGGAGCAGCATCTCGACTCCATTCCGGAGCAGCGGGGCTCAGCAGATGTCCACAGAGGGATGGTGCCGAGGTGCTTGGTGTCTCAAAGGTGCTCACTCTACTCGAGCTCAGCACCGAGGATGGCGACCTCGCTGAGGACCTCTTCTTTTTCTGAGTGTCCCTATTATGGGAGGTCGCAGCTCGCTTCCTGGATGATTTGGAAGACTGAGCACTCCCATTAGCAGAGATTTTGCTCAGGGAACCATCTGTTGATGTCAATTTTTGTCCCTGAGGAGGAAGCTGAAGGGACTTTCCATCAAAATCATCTTGAAGCGGAGATCTCAATCACGCCTTGCCCTGGCTTTAAGGTTGGAGAAATGGGCACATTTTTGAGGGATATGGGTCTCCCCCAAACAGACAAGTGACCGTCTGAGAGGGGCATCGCCTCACGACAAAAGTCACATAGTTTAAACCCAGGCGAGTGGGTATTGTGGATGTTAAAGTTTCCCAATGGGGAAAGAGTTGGAAAAATAACAAAAAAAAATACATATAATTTTTTTTTTTTTTTTTTTTTTTGGAAAACAGCAATAACTAAGTAAACTAGACCTACTAAGCTATTGCTAATCTAACTATTTCTATAGAGAGAAAAACAAAGAGGCAGCACTGCCACTGAGCTCCGTGTGCAGCCGAGGATGGTTGAGAACGAACTGAACGGGTCAGGTCGTGTGCACATTACATGAGGTGCCAACGGCATTGAGAGTTGACTATTGTGCATGCACGCCCTAAGTGAGCACTGCTACCAAAAATTTCCGATCTGCGGCACAGGGACGCACCAACACCCAAAGTGGAGCAATCGCAGGGACACTACTCGAAGAATGCAGACCCATCTCCTCGTAGATTCCATATGCTTGATATAAGTCTTTAGTGATCTTTTGATATCTAGGGTGTGCCACTGCTTCTCATTTGACAGCTATGGTTCCGTTCTCTAAAACTCCAGATCTGGTAGGTAGTTCTGGGTCCTCGGAGCATTCCCCATCCCCTCAGAATGGTGTCTGAGAAGCTGCAGGCCTGGAAGGCATATGGGAAAACCCCTGTGGACATCCTCTGGAACTACAGCACCTGACTCAGAAACTACCTGGTCTTACATTCGCTACAAGGAATGGTCCCATACTCTCAGAAGAAAGGCCTGAAGACACCTGATATACCTCACCCATGGAGAGACCTATATGTGCAAGACCAGAAGGCACAGTGGCTATAGACACTGTGCTATGGTTGACCTTGTGCAGAAATATCAGATCCTGGATCTTCAGGAATCTGTCTAGTGATGGGTATATCTTTGTCACTGAAGCATCTACGTCCACTCCCAGGTGAATTATGTTTGTTGAGGGAATCAGTGAGCTTTTCCTGGCATCACTGCAAAGCCACGTGCTTGGAGGCAATGCAGACTCTGGATTGTGGGATTGCATGCTGTGGCCTATGAGCCATGCTTTGCTTTGACTACAATCAGCTACATATGACCCTGGGTGCCAAGGGTGGATCAGAAAGAAGAGCTGTCAAGCTAAGGATTTTGTTAGTTTGAAGGAAAACTGATCTAGGTTTGCTTGGAAGCTTCTACTCCAGGTTTTCCCCTCCCCCCTCCAGGGTAACAAGCCTTTCTTGGATATCTTTGGTGTTGGTAGCAACCAGTGGATTGCTGTGCTGGATTTCAGAGAGAGGACTGAAGCTTCTCTGCAGTCTCAGCTAGTAATTTCTCGGTTTCCTCCAATAGCTTCTCACCTGTAAGTCTGCATGCACAAGATATCTATTTAGGATGAGTGATAACTATTCATGGGTGTAATATGACATCCTTGTAGTCACCATGTTAGAATCCATTGCTCATCACAAATCACATCAAGGGTTTGACCAAGACCAGGCCTGAGATATCTCACTCCAAGCAAGGATCATACCAATAGAAGATGAACCGTTTGTTTACCATGAAACAAGCTTTCCCACTAAATATATGAAAAACCTTTGGTCTGAACACTTACAGCTGAGGCTTTGAAATTATTGCACCGTGATTCTTATGGTCTTGGAAGGAAGTCCCATTCTGAAGGTGTGGCTTGTTTTTACACACACACACAAGTTTAATCAGGTGTCCTCATTTGGATCTTATGCCCTCAAAAGAGGCATTAACAGGAAAATATGTATTAATAATACTTGAGAGGAAAGATATATTTTATTAATATTAAGTTTCTTGCAGGCCACTGACTGGCATCCTGTCTTGGAAAAGTTCTGTAGGGTTTTTTTTGTTTCTTTCTTTCTTTGTTTTGCTTGTGTGGTACTTCTTCCCCTGGCTATTTACAGGAGGAAGATAGTATCATTCATCTTGGTCAGGAGACCACACAACAGAAGTGGGGTACTGGTACACGTAAGTAAATTGTGAAAATGGCTTGTTAGCTGTCCCCAGGACCTGAAAGGCTGCCTGACTACTCCTGCAAGTAAGTACAGTAGAAACCACCTAGTACCACTAGGAGCTTTACTCAGGACATCAGGACCATTTTGAACATGGAAAGGGATTTCTCACTTACCCCTCTGTAATCCCATGAAGGTGCAAGCTTCATGGGGAGTAGAATCCTCAAGTACCTCTGTTCTGGTCAGATTGCCTGAAACGCACAAGGCTCTATGTGGAGACAGCCTGGGGAGGGAGGGAGGGAAGAAGCGAGACCTTTTCCCAGGCAAAGAAAGAATTTGTAGCTGATGATCAGAAGGCACAATTCCCATTCATGTTCTGCCTCAAATCTGAAGCCCTTTCCCTGAGGCTCTTTTGGTTGAAAGCCAGACAGGCACAATTTCAGTTAACCTGCTGCCTGAGGCATAGCAACCCAGGAGGCACTGGCTTCTCTGAATCCCCACACAAGCTGTAGGGTGGGGGAGGGTGGTGACCATGGTACAGAGCACTGAGAGACTCTCTGAAGGAGATAATCACCCACAAACACTGTCTCGGGGTAGAAGGCAAAGAAGGGGTTTAACTCCTGATTTTCACCCTACTTGCTTATTCACAATAGTAATCACTGTCTTGTGAAAGACACACATACTTTTGCCTTTTTGACCCAGAATCTCTGGTTTACTCAGCACTTACTCCAGAGTATCATGAGAAACCCCTGATTCATGGTGCAAGGAAGGGGAGCTGTACAGGAACTCTGCTTCTCTCTGCAGGGATTTAGGACCCACTTTAGGACCAGTAGCCTGGAAGGGGTCTTATCTTTATGGTCCTTTGCTGCCTCAGGACTCAACCCCTTGGTCGGCTGGTCAAAGTCCTCTTCATCATCAGCGCCTCTTCTTGCTCTTCTCGGTCTTTCCTGGTTGGTTTTTCACAGTGAAGTCATGGATACTTTGGGGGGGGAGGGGTAGGAGACCCAATATGCCAGTGAACTCAGAGCCCCGTGCCCTCAGAAAGAGAGGGTTGGCTGACTGCGGGCTGGGCATTTTTTACCTTCTGCCAAGACAGAGAAAGCTGCCTCAAACACTGAGTACATTTTGGATTTCGCTCAATGCTTGCATGGCTGCTCTGCCACACCTGAAAGGGGGTAAAGAAGCTCAACAGGGAGGCACTGCAACAGAGGCTCTGAGTGGCTGTGACCACAGAACTGCTCAAATCCCAGACCAAGAGGAGGCGAAAAGGCTTGAAAACAAATAAAAACAATTTAAATGCCCACAAAACAGCCCAAAATAATAAATCCAAAAGAAAAGGAAGGGAGCAAAGTGAACCACCACTTGGCAGCTGTCACAAAAGGCAGAAGATCTGGTAGCAACCAGAAGAAGGGAGCATGGTTAGTACAGGCTGTGCTGAGGCTTTGAACTGCCTCCAGAATCTTCAGATAGGAGGAGTATATATAGCCCATATATGTCAGAGTTGTGGGAGAGACTGCTAGCAGAAGGGACATTATCAGGTAAGAGTTGAGAATGGAAAATTTCTAACACAGCATGATTATAATATACATCTGTATTTGTGGTTGATGCTGGGCAGCAGAATTTAAACACAAAACGCAGCAACTGTGCTAAGTGGCAACTGTGATACTGCACTGCCAAATCAAATTTAAATTAACTAGACCATTTCAATGAACACACCTCCATAATGTGAACTATGGAGATTTATACTAAAACTCTGAACTGCTTTTTTTACTTTTTGGAGGTTTGTTAAACAATCTATCTTGACTGAATCTTAAGTTTTTAGATAGAAAAAAAGGTTAAAAAAATCTAATCTCAGGATCAAATAAAGAGTTCAAAATGGAGTAAGTTTCAGAGTTTGTATGATTTGCTTTATAGCTTACTTACCAGAGCAAGTTGAACCTCTCCTCCTGTAGCATACACATCCCCATCATGATCTCCATATAGAAAAAATTTCAAGATACTTCCATAAAATATTGGAAGAGTTTTAATTGTTTTCACCTAAAAGAGAAAAGACAGCTCAGTAATTATCATAAAACTTAACATGGATGAGTTCCTGACACATATGGTTCAACAGAAGTTACACATTAAAAATGACATTTGTGCATCAGCCACCTTCCAATGATTCTGCTTGCATGTATAAATCAAACAATAAACCTTTCTGAAGTTAGACATTCCTCACCCAGGTTTTAGTTTGCAGCGGAGAAGCTCTCCTTAAAACCCAAACTCCCTGCTTTAAATTAGTGTGGCCTCTATCATGTTCAGCCAGGAACTTTCTCTCAGAGCTCCTCCACAGATAAATCACAGGATGATACAGTCTGTCCATAGTTAAGGTTGTAATCAGGTTCCATTATAAGACTTATTTTATATACATCTTGTAACTCTGGCTAAAAGAAATGGTGTGGACTAAAAATTTCCAGGTTTATTCTAAAGGCTAATGGAGAATTTTTCTGTAACGCATGAAGTAAACTGGTCAAACTGCGTTACAGGATATTAAAAAAATTAATCTGATTTGAAATTAACATGTGTCCTAAACTAAGGCAGCTTGATACTACCTTCACATTTTTCACAGTTACATTTATTTGAAATCTTGCACATGAACTACAACTAAGAAAATGGGCCAATTTTATTCTTTTCTAATAATTTTGTTGTCTTATAACAAAGAACTTCTAGTTTCAGAAAAGAGATTAAGGACTTGTCTACGCTTCGCTGTGTAGGTTGCGAAGTTAAGGAAAAACAGGAACACTGAAGATTACTTCTAAATTCTGCAGGAGACAAGGAAGGAGCCAGGGAAGAACAGACAAACTTAATTCTGATATTTAACTTTTTAGAGCTTGACTTTGCAATCTTAACTTTTTTTAATGTAATTTTTGTACAGAAAATTATAAATCTGTTGATCTAACTAGTATCATACTTACCTGTAAGAATATGTAAATATTCTACACAATGTATATCAATTTTTAACTTTAAAACAGTGTCAATATTATCAAGCAATTAACTTACCAACTGTCCAGTTCTGTATGTTTTCCCATCCCACTCTATTGCAGAATATGTAGCCCAAGGACTTTGCATTCTTTTGGAGGTCAAGTCAGTACGTGTAATTATTTCTTTAAACAGTGTGAATTTTATCTGTTTGTCATATTTCTCATGGCAGTCTTTGAGCCACAAAGCAAATTCTCTGTCAATTTTCATTCGCTGCTCCTGTGAAGTTTTAGTAGATGCATTACAAAATGTAAATCTGAGTTTCATAGGGGTGAATAGCGACTTAAAAGTTAATGGTTGTTCTCAGTGATACTGTAGTCAAAAGTTAGTTTTTCAACACTCTTTAAAAATATCGCATTCTAAGTAAGACTTATCTTAACCCAGTAAATGCTTAAAATAGCTTTACTTACTGATGTATTGAGTTAATTTTCAAAATGTTGCTTACTACAAATAAGAGGTTATCTTCTTAAGGAAAACGTCTTTCCCTCACTGTATACCTAGTTACATCCATACAATAAAAACTAGGTATACAAACATAGAAATCACGTTTTTCTTCTTCAAAACAAAAAAACTAGGGCTGCTATTAAAAAAAAAGTCACAATTAATCACGTGATTAAAAAAATTAACTGCAATTAATCACACGATTAATTGCACTCAAACAATAGAATACCATTTATTTAAATATTTTTGGATGTTTTTCTACATTTTAAAATATATTGATTTCAATTACAACAGAATACAGTGCTCACTATATTTTTTATTACAAATATTTGCACTGTAAAAAACAAAAAGTAGTATTTTTCAGTTCACCTAATACAAATACCATAGTGCAAGCTATTTATCATGAAAGTTGAACTTACAAATGTAGAATTATGAACAAAAAATAACTGCATTCAAAAATAAAACAATGTAAATCTTTAAGGCCTACAAGTCCACTCAGTCCTACTTCTTGTTCAGCCAATAGCTCAAACAAGTGTGTTTACATTTGCAGAAGATAATGCTGCCGCTTCTTGTTTACGTCACCTGAACGTGAGAACAGGAGTTTACATGGTATTGTTGTAGCTGACATCACAAGATATTTACGTGCAAATGTGCTAAAGATGCATATGTCCCTTCATGCTTCAACCACCATTCAGACATGCGTCCATGCTGATGACGGATTCTGCTTAACAATCCAAAGCAGTGTGGATCAATGCACGTTCATTTTCATCATCTGAATCAGATGCCACCAATAGAAGGTTGATTTTCTTTTTTTGGTGGTTCAGATTCTGTAGTTTCTGCATCACAGTGTTGCTCTTTTAAGGCTTCTGAAAGCATGCTCCACACCTTGTCTCTCTCAGATTTGGAATGCACTTCAGATTCTTACACCTTGGGTTGAGAGCTGTAGCTATCTTTAGAACGCCTGTTCTCACTTTTAGGTGACATTGTAAATAATAAGTGGGCAACATTATCTCCCATAAATGTAAACAAACTTGTTTCTCTTAGCGATTGGCTGAACAAGAAGTAGGACTGAGTGGACTTGTAGGCGCTGAAGTTTTACATTGTTTTGTTATGGAGTGCAGTTATGTAACAAACAAAAAAAATCTACATTTGCACTTTTACAATAAAGAGACTGCACTACAGTACTTGTATTAGGTGAACTGAAAAATACTATTTCTTTTGTTTGTCATTTTTACAGTGCAAATATTTGTAATCAAAAGGAATATAAAGTGAGCACTGTACACTCTGTATTGTAATTGAAATCAATATATTTGAAAATGTAGGAAAACATCCAAAAATATTTAATAAATTTCAATTGGTAGTCTATTGTTTTTTTTTTTTTAAGTTAATTGTTTTTTTTAAGTTAACTGTGATTAATCGACAGCCCTAAAAAAATCCCAAGGTTTGTGCTCATTTTTCAGTTTTAAAAAGGCTCAACTTTAAGGGCTAGTAATACTGACATGGATTACTATTGCAAAGTTCTCTGCAAGTTTCCACAGTGACTTGTCACTGGAAATAGTGCAAAAACTTAGTAATATGGACAAATGAGCACTAAGAAGTGGGATGAGACTTCCTAAATCACACTCATTGAATTGTGGCAAGCAGAAGTACAAATTAAGATTAAAAGCATCACCTGTCCATTGAAGACTCTTGTAAAAAGAGTGTTTTTTTCTTTTAACTTCAGTTCCAGGTCCATGAAAGTAAGCTTGTTTGTGCTGACCTGAAACTTATCATTGGTAAATAATGCGCCAGAAATTCGATTGTAGCATTCAATTGGTGCAAGTCCTCTCTTCTTGGGAGGAGCACACCAGTCAAAACTTAAAACAAAAAGGCAAAATAATTAGAAACTTCATTTTTTGAAAAAGCAGTAAAATGTTTAAATTGTAGACCTGGAAATTTCTTACTCTTCTACACTTGTGTATGGTATTAACCTTCCATTCCAAAAACATTCAAAAATATGCCTTTTTCCCCTGGCCCCTTTTTCTACCACAAAGCAGTCATCATCGTCATCATCATCTTTTAATCCTAGATTTAAAGGAACACCAGAGTTACCATAACAAAACAAGAGCCAAAACAAGAATATATTGTAACATTTACCTTGTTTGTTAAATTACACATACATTCTGTGTACAGTTAAACTATTTATTTAGTAGGTATATACCACAGAGGGGAAAAATAATTACCAGTAATTTTGTTTATCATATGCCTTTTCTTTCCCAGGTTAAAATTCCTTTCTTACAATAAATGGCATCTACCAGGGAACAAAAGCAACCTTTTGTTGAATCAGATCTGCTTATCTTGAATATCCAAAACAATTATCTCCTTCACAGACTCACACACCTATATTCAGACCCAGTTTCAGAGGCAATCGTTTTAACACTAGAAACAAAATCTGATTTTGTATTTCCTACACCCTAGTTGTTCCTACAGCTTCCAGCAGTACAGATAACCAGCCAGTTGACAGCAAAGCTGTCATGTAGAGCCTTCCTTAGGTGTACATGAGTTTAGCTCAAAAAATCTACTTCTCACAGAAATGAGGCCTAAGGGAGCACAAGTATTATGTATGCACACAACTTTCATAATTTAGTTCATTATATAGTTTACCCTAAAACTGAAATTGTAAAACTTAACTTGAAAAACAGCACTAAATCTCAACTTGGTTTAAATTGCTCCCCCCTCATATGTTTTCACCACTCAGTTTCTAATTCATCTCAGTACAAAGAATTGTGAGATGGCTCAAGATGGAAATTTGCCATAAAAAAATGAAGAGTTTCTCAAAATTTGGAGATCAGTATTTGCTTCAGAAAGTATGTTCTTGAGTCTTTTTAAGCAGATTCTACAAATGACGAGAACTGGAAATATGCATGTAGCATGTTGACAAAATGTAGGATTATATATATAAAACTGTCCCCAAAATTGTGAAATTTAAAACTATTAAGATTTAACTGACTTACGTGATGGAAAGCATGGATCATCAGGATATGTTTCTTTATCATATAAGAAAGGATGGTAGCGGATGATGCCCTCCACTATACCTTCTCCTTCAACATGTGACTTAAACTCAAAGCTATCTGCCGCAGAATTTATATATAATGTCTGCATGTCATCTTTGATCTCTCTAAGGTTGACCATCCTAGGTACCTTTCCTTTTTCAAACATCAAAATCTAAAAGAAAAACAAAACAAGTATAATTTTTTCCTGTCATCAACAAATTACAGTCAACACAAAATGTCACAACTGGTTAACTACATTTTTGAAATTAATTATCATAAAATGTCTCAGTTTTTCATGAAATTACACACATCTTTCAAACACTGCAGTTTTTCAGAGCAATTAACAGTAAACGTAATTACAGAAATGTATTAATGACATGTAATACGTTACCATATATATCCCACCTCAATATCAATGTTGTTGAAAGGTCCAGCTTCTTTCATTGTAGCATTAGTTTCATTTCCTTTTGGTCCATGGATATAGTAATGATAGATATGTCTGAAGTTATTAAAAAAATTATTTTTAACTAAACCAAAAACACACACAGGAAAACCTAAAGCAATCTAAAGTGCAAAATTTACAAAGCCTAAATATATTCATAGGTGTTTTTATATTAAACAGGTTTGGTTTTTTTTTTATTTAAATTTAACTAGTTCTTGGCATTGTTGGATACCCAATTCAACAGCATTAAAACCACAAGGTGAAATGACTAGGAACAGTGGCCAAGCTATGTTAGCTGCATTTAAGGTACATTATTTTTCTTTCACCAACTGAAAAGGCCAGGGTATCTAAATATCTACTCTCAGACTGATCAGAATAGGTGAAATACTTGCATTAGAGGAAAGATTTGGAAATATTTAGATACCTTTGCAAGGCAATAAGTGACTATGGTGATATGTATTATTTTGATGACAGTTTCCTTTATAGAAAGGCACAAAGTAATAAAACTACTGTAAAGCTTTTTGAAGTCTACAGATGAAAAGTGGTGTATAAGAGCAAGGTATTTTTATTTATTCTGATGATCAGTTTTGTAATGGTGCCAAGTTATCTACACAATAATCAGAATGTCACAAATAATCCTTATGCTTTCTTTCATTTTACTACAGTATGAATAGCTAGGTGTGCATGTAATGATGCATTAGAGAAATTATCCTTCTATAATTCTTGTTCTCTAAAGGTATATAATAACCCAGTTTTCAGAAGTCTTGAGAACCCACGTGTGCTTTATCGTATACTCAGAGTCCCAAATCCTGTGAACACTACTAACACATGTAAACTGTTCCATGGACTTCAATATTTTAATAATTAGCCAACCCTTTAGGCTTCAGCGGGACTACCCATATACATGCCTAATTTAGCCACATGTGTACTCTCAATAAAGCCTACAGAGTTAGTTATTTATGGAAAATTACTGGAATATTTAAGTCAATGGGACTACTTGTGTGTATAAAGTTAAACCCATAAGCCCTGATCCTGCAATCCAGCAGACTTATTTAGAAAGTTACAAAAAGGTTTTTCCTTGTAACATTCAAAGAAGATTCATACACTGAGGGAATTTGTAGATTTGGAAAGTTTTAGACTTCTTCATAACAGAATGGAACTGGAGTATAGTTTGTAGTTTATATGATACCAGTTGAGCGTACAGTAACCCCCCACTTAACGTCCTTTCAATCTTATGTCCCCATTCCATTACAGAACATGCTCATTTAAAGTTGTGCAATGCTCCACTATAACGTTGTTTGGCCGCCTGCTTTGTCCACAGCTGGAAGCCCCCCCATCAGCTCCCCTACGCCCCAACCCCCCAGCACCTCCTCCCCGCCAGCAGACCCCGCAGATCAACGCCTTCCCCCTGCTCCCCCTGCCTGCGGCAATCAGCTGGTTTGCAGCGTTCAGGAGGCAGGAGGAAGGGGAGAGGAGCGAGGAGACGGCGCGCAGGCTCCCCCTCCCTCCCCAGCTTCCTGAACGCTGCAAACAAGCTGATTGCCACGGGCAGGAGGCAGGGGAAGGAGGGTGGAGGAGCGAGGACATGGCATGCAGAGTAAAGGGGGAGGAGGTTGGGGCGGGAGAAAAGGTGGGTTAAGTGTGGGGGCTTGGAGGAAGGGGTGGAGTGGGCGGGCTGAGGGTTGAGCCCCCCGCCCCGGTGCTTGCACAGTAGGGGAAGCTGCCGTTGCTGCTGCGCAACGTGTTTCTCCTAGCCTACTTGCCTCCATGCCTGCCTCATTGCCTGCAGTTCCAGTGGGCTATTCCTGGGTGGGGTAAGGCGGGGTACGTTCAAACTATAGCACTGTACTGTATGTACAGTATGTTTGTAAACACACAGCCCGTGCACACTGCCCCCCTTCCCCCACAATTCACTTGCTTTATGGCCCAATAGCCCTGCTCGGGAATAGGGCTCTATACCAAGCGCTTGCGAGGCCACCAGCTGCCTGCAAAGCAGCTGCAGGTGGTGCACAACAGAGGCCCTGCCTTGCTGTCTTGCGACAGAATAAACAATGTTTTATCCGCCCCCCTCCATCCCCCTTCGCTGGAGGGAGGTAAGAACACAGAGGGAGGCAGCCCACCCAGAGCAAGTTACAGGAATAGAGTTCCAGCGCCTGCTTCCCTGTAGCAAGGGGGAGAAGCGGCGTAGAGAACCTGGCCCTGCTCCCATGAAAACCTGTGAAATGCATGGGAGCTTTGCCATTCACTTTAATCCCAGCTGCATCTCTCTGCCCCTACATGCACACAGCAGAGAGGGGAACAGCCCTGTTGCAAACGTTATTTTTCTCCTCTTACTACATTGGCTGCAATGCTGCCCGGGTGCTGAGTGCATGGTTACTAGGGGAGATACAGCAGGGCCAGTTTTCCAGGGCACCCTGGAAAAGAGGCCTTTGGTCCTCCAGCAGGGCTCCTGTGAAAGTAAGAACCTGCAAGAAAGTAAGAACCTCCATAACTAGTCCTAGCCTAAACCCAAAGGGCTTCCAGTAGGGGGGCAGATTACCATGAAGGATAACATGGGTTTTTCAAATTCTTTCCCTTACAATAGTTGATTGATGCTGCATGACCCCGGCCACTCCAGGCTGAAGGGAGTGAAGAGTAGCACATGCGTGCGCGTCCGGAGGATCATCACCCACAGCATCATGAGTCAAAAACATCCAGCAAGTGATAGTGGAGTGCCTAGCAGTAGCAGTACCACTAGCAGCAAGAAAACCAGGAAACCCATTAGTTTGGGTACTAAATTAGACATTTTAAAGCATTTTGATGCAGGCGAGCGTGCAGTAGATATTGGCATCGCTCTAGGTCTTACTCCGACCACTGACAGAACAATTCGGAATAATGCCGAAAAGATCAGGGATAGTGCTCAGTGTGTAACACCACTTAGTGCTACTACAATAAGTCGATCAAGTAGTAGTTTGCTGAAAATACAGAGCATCTTCTCTCACAGTGGAAAGAGGACCAAAACCAGCGGAACATACCTTTAAGTTTGCTAGTGATACAAGCTAAGGCAAAAAGTTTGTATGACAATTTGAAGAGAGACCAAGGTGAAGGATCACAGACAGAGACTTTCACAGCAAGTTGGGGATTTGATCGGTTCAAGAGGTGCTTCCACCTGCATAACATCAAGATGTCCAGTGAGGCGGCTAGTGCTGATACTGCAGCAGCTAAAAAATTCCCCAACTATCTCAAGAAAATAATTGAGGAAGGTGGCTATTCCCCTAAACAAGTCTTCAATGTCGATGAAACGGGCCTGTACTGGGAGAGGATGCCTGAGCGGACTTACATTTCCCGAGAGGAGACAGCACCCGGATTTAAAGCAGCTAAAGATCATCTAACCTTGCTTCTAGGTCGTAATGCTGCCGGAGACATGAAGATGAAACCACTGACAGTGTACCAATCTAAAACACCATGCGCTCTCAAGGGATTTTCAAAGGAACACCTTCCGGTCATTTGGAGATCCAATAAGAAGGCATGGATAACTGGAGCTATTTTTTTAAAATGGCTGACTCTCTATGCTGTCCCTGCATGGAAGGAATACTGTGCCAAGGAAAATCTTGATTTCAAGATTTTATTCATTATTGATAATGCACTGGCTCATCCAATCAACCTGGACAACCTGTGTGAAAACGTCAAAGTTGTCTTTCTGCCCCTAATACCACATCACTCATCCAACCCACGGACCAAGGAGCCATTGCTGCATTTAAGGCGTATTACTTACGCCATACTTTTGACCAGCTCATCAGAGGCACCGATAGGGAAGGCAAACCTACGATTCGGCAATTTTGGCGTGACAACATCATCCTGAAGTGCATCGATAACACTAGTGAGTCCTGGGCTGAAGTTACTCAGGCTTGCATGAATGGTGTGTGGGGGAAGTTGTGGCCTGAATGCGTCAATGACTTAAAAGAATTTAAAGATGTTGTCCCCGCTATGAAGAAAGATATCCTTGGCTTAGCCAAGAAAGCAGGTTTTGATGAGGCGGAAGAAGCTGACGTTACACAACTTCTGCAATCACACGGAGAAGAGCTAACCAATGAAGATTTGATGCAACTAGAGGTGAGGAGAGCAATGGAAGACAAGGGCCAAGAAGTAGAAGAACCACCAATCCATCAAAATTTGACTGCCAAACATTTTTCTGAAGCTTTCCAAATGATTGAAGCTGGCTTGCAAATCCTTAGTGATGACGATCCTGACACGGAACGCAGCTCCAACGTGATTAGGGGAGTTGGTCATCTAATGACTTGCTATAAAGAAATTTACCAAGGGGGAAAAAAAAAAAAAAAAAAGGGAAAGCAAAACAACAATTTCTAGATGTGTTTTTTCGAGTTCAGAAAGTTCAGCAGGAACAGCAAGAGGAGCAGCCAGACAATCCACCCTCTTCCACTCTCTGACTCCATCACCTCAACCAAGCTTTCATACTCAGCAATGATTGTAGTATTAAATTGTTTCTTTAAAATTGTTTAAAACTTATACCTGTATTAAATTGCTTGTTCAAAACAATTTTAAATGTATATAATGCCTTTTGTCTGGCAAAAAAACGTTTTCCTGGAAACTAATCCCCACATTCATATTAATTCTTATGGGGAAATTGGATTCACTTAACATCGTTTCGCTTAAAGTCGCATTTTTCAGGAACATAACTACAATATTAAGTGACGAGTTACGGTACTAAATTTCAAAGTCATTAGAATATCTGTCATCAACATTATTAAAAGTAAATCCAAACATAAATTACATCACTAAAAATATAAGAACAAATTATAGTCTGACTTTGCATAAGTTTTTTTTTTAAATAAGAAAAATCTTTTACTAAAATTAAATGTTGACTCACGCCAATTGTCTTGTCCAAAGATTAAAATAGTTTTTCAAGTACTGCATGTGATCTGGTTGTACACCTGTAACGACAACCGCAGTGAAACTCTTCTTGTCCCTTTCTTCCATTATGAGATTGTGTAGAAATCGTTCATCATCACTGGTGATATGCGCAGAGTCAGATGGCTAGAAAAGGGGGTCAAAAATGAAACAAAGACAGGAATTGAACTGTATACTTTTCTAAGTCCCCCTATATCATTTCAAAGATGGGTGAAAGAAGTCCTACCAAGCATATGGAGGCAAAAATTGCAAAACACTTATAGCAGACATTACATGGGAGGCTAATCCTTTTTGTTTAAGAGTGTCCTACTTAATTACCTGTCAGTATCTGGTGCTCTCAATTCAGCGACCTTCAATCTATCAACACCTATGTAATTCTATACAGGAGTCTTATACTGCCACATCACTGTAGTAACTGGACATCTTCCAGTAATGCATGAAGCCAGTGGTTCTCAAACTTTTGTACTGGTGACCCTTTCACATAGCAAGCCTCCGAGTGCAACCCCACCTTATAAATTAAAAACATTTTTAAATATATTTAATACCATTATAAATGCTAAGGCAACAGCTTGCGACTCCCCACATAATAACCTCACGACCCCCTGAGGGCTCCCGACTCCCAGGTTGAGAACCCCTGCATTAAGCTATGTGACTAACTTATGTTGTGTGGTTCATTCTCTCTCTCACTGTCTAGCGGGGAGAAATGTGTGTAGTGTTTTGTTTTTCAGGCTTTCCTTTCTAAGTGTACATGCTGCTAGGAGTTTAAATTAGAAAAGGCAAGGTCCAAAAAGTGCACTTTGCACATGAGTGGGAGGTGGAGAGCCCTTAGTTCCTGTAGGAGTTTGTTCCACAGTCTCAGTCAGGCCCCAATACAGTTCTTTCTCCTGCACAGATAATCTTCACTCTTTGATAGGAAGTTCCATTGTGCCTAAGAACGGGAGCAGTCAACCACTGTCCTTGGTCCTGGATCCTTAGGCCATCTTTTAGATATGCTGGGCCCAAGCCATTGGATACTGGATGCAGTATCGGACCCTAATGCTGTGACGCTGTGTCTGGGCAAGGGGAAAGGTGAATCGGAGGTTGGCTGGACACCTGGAGTAGGTCAAAATTGTCTTGGCAGTATGGGGTCATCATAGCAACAGTAGCCTTGTCCTATCTTATGTTGGATATTTTTCTAGGGATCATGGTGATCCATTGGAAAGCACAGAGGAGACTTCAAGACTATCAGAGGAGGGAAGCATCTGGGAGAGATCCTAGGCTTATGCCTCCCCTAGAACTTTGCATTTGGCATTCTCTGTGATGGCAAATAGGTCTATGGTCTGGTTCCCCAATAGTCAGCATATTGGGTTGAGAATGGATTTCCACAACCACTGCTTATTGTTGGTTACCACATTTCTGTTTCCGAAATTCATGAGATCTTTGTTAACCCCTGGAAGAGGCAGGGCCACTGGGGTCACTCCATACTGGTAACATCAACCGCAGAATTCGACGGCTTCCAGACAAGTGGGGACAATTGTGCACTTCCCTGCTTGTTGATATAGTGCATTGCCGACATTACACTACACTACAGAGTTCTGTAGACCAGCTAGGACCACTACACAGACCAACCTGATGGCCCTCAGCTCTAAGACATTCACATGTAACATCTAAGGAACATACTCCTTGGATTTGGAGGTGATTCAGGTGGATGCCCTAACCTGTCCCTGATACATCCATAGTAAATGTCATTGCTGGGAAGAGGGTCAAGGAGGACACCCCTTTTCTTGCATTCAAGGGGTCTAGCCACTAGGTGACCTCTCAAAGGACTTGGGATGGTACCGTGACCAATCTATTCATGTAGTGTTTGGTTGGGGTATGCACTGTCCTTGGCCAATGTTGGAATGTCTGCAGTGTATGTGAGTAGAGTGGAGAAAAGTCTGGCAAACAGTGTTACCTAGATACATGTGTCCTAATAACCCCAGGCATGGGCAAGAGCATCATGTAGTGTCTTGTCAGTGACTGAAAGGAACTGAACAAGTCCTCTGATAGATATGCTTGGGCTGACTGAGTTGAGTAGGGCTCCTATTAATTCTATCCTCTGGAATGGTGTGAGATGATTTTTTGTAGTTAACCAGAAATCCTAGTTGAGAGAACAGGGAGAGGACTTGATTTAGTGTTGTTTTGGTCTCACCTGGCACTTGCCTGTGATCAGCCAGTCACCTAGGTATGCATAGACGTGAAGTACACTACCACTGCCAGGTGCTTGGGGAAATACTCTCCGTGCTATGGTGTGTCCAGAGGTTAGAACCTAGGTCCCGTTATGAATCCAGAGTACTTCCTGTGGTCCAGGTGGGTGGCAATGTGGAAGTACACATTCCGCAAGCTAAGAGTGATGAACCAGTCTTGAGCATGGAGTGATGAAGGAAAGCATTACCCTTCCTGAATCGGACGCAATGTACTTGTTGAGTCTTGTCTAGTCTAGAACAGGATGAAGACACCTTTCTTCAGAATGAAGAAATATAGAGTACAGAAGCCTTTTCCTCTTGGTATTCCTGAGGCAACTCTTCTATGGCTCTGAGACAGAGCAATGAGGCCAATTCTGTTTGCAAAAGAGTCCCTGAAGGAAGGCAGGGAAGGGGGTAGAAAACGGAACAGGATGATGATATCTAGCACCTATGTGTCTGTAGTATTGCCTGTCCATGCTTGAAGGAATGAAGTAAGGTGGCTTCTGAAGGAAGTACTCTGTTGACTTGGTGTAGTTCTTGACCAAGTTGTCAAATTTGCTGGTACACGAATGGAGCTCTGTACATAAGTAGAGTGGAAAAAAGTTCACTTCCTCTGCTGTCTCTTGCCACTTTTTAGACTGGTACTCAGGCTATCTATAATAGGAAGACATCCACTGTCTTTCTTGATGTTAAAGTGGAGGGGGGTACATCAGAACTGTGCAGATTCCAAAAGATTACAGAATTGCCTTGGAATTGTTAGTGAGTATAGAGCATTGTTTTCTCACTAAATACCTCTATCCATTCCTTCAAAGGGCAATCTTCAGTAGTGATTTGTAGTTCGCAAGAGATGCCCTCAGCATGGTCACCACAGTGGCCATGGATCTAGCTGTGTGATGTCATCTGCACCCAGCAACATATTTGCCACCAATCATCCCTCTTTTACAATGTCCTCTAGAGCCCCTCTAGCCTCATGAGGGAGCTTGTTGATAAATAGCATCACTTTGTCCCATGTTAAAAAGTCATATTTGGCAAGAAGAGCTTGGCAACTAGCTAGTTGTAGTGATGCACAGCAGTTGGTCTTTCTCCTGAACAGATTCAATCACTTGGAATCTTTGAATTCGGGTGCATTTTTGGCATGATTTTTCTTAGATTGCCAAGACCATTAGAGATCTGTGGTAGGATGCAAATAAAAGTACTCAACCCTGGAAGGTATAACCTGGCATCTTTTCTCAATATGTTCTGCTGGTGATGGTGCAGTGGCTGCTGTTAGCGACAGGGCTTGCAATGGGTCTAGTAATCCCTTATTTATGAGGAAGGCAATTCCGGTAGGACCTGCTGGTGATCAGATATTGAATAGTTTGAGAGATTTTTCAGGTATTATCAAAGTTTCAATCTCCAGTGAATATGCAAATCATACCAGGAACTCTTGGAATGTTTTGAAATCATCCAGCATTGTTACTTGTGCCAAGGCAACTGCTTTGTCACGCAAAGAGGAAAGGTCTTTGGGGGGGCGGGAGGGGGAGGGGCGACACCAGTCACTGATAGGTTTGTGCGTCTAGGTCCCACTCCTCCTAGTACTCTCATCTGTAGTCTCGCTAATGAGACTACTGGAGAAGGAGATCTCCTCCTCAATGGAGGCGAGTGGCTCCTTGAGGCTTGGGAAGATAGATGCCAGAATAACTAAAAAAAATAATATATGGAGATATACCTATCTCATAGAACTGGAAGGGACCCCGAAAGGTCATCGAGTCCAGCCCCCTGCCTTCACTAGCAGGACCAAGTACTGATTTTGCCCCAGATCCCTAAGTGGCCCCCTCAAGGATTGAACTCGCAACCCTGGGTTTAGCAGGCCATGCTCAAATCACTGAGCTATCCCTCCCGCCTACACTGGCATGCTGTATGAATACACGGGTGGAACAGTAGGTTCTTCTGGCAGTACTGCTCAGGAACTGTATAGGGGAGGACTTCCTCCTCGACACCAGCAAGGTGTGCCACTATGATGGTGACAAGGAGTATAACTCCTTCGGAGATAGTGCGAATGGGTATGGTGCTGGGGCTTTTGTCGGTATCAATGACAGTTCTGCAGTCCATGATTGTTCCCCCAGTGCTGGGGTCAACATTGGCAGTGGGGCCTTTGGTACCAGGTGGGGTACTAATGGAGTCTGCTGCACTGCAGTATGCTCTTTTTCCACTCATCTGCAGAGCTGGACATGTTTTGGAGTGTTTATTCCCCAATGCTTTCCCGTCTCTCTGCATAAGAGGACACCAAGCTCTCCTTTGAACTCCTGTGTTCCAGGGTGTCCTCTTTCAGTGGCCTTCTTTGATATCTTAGGCATCACCTTTGATGTGAATGGTCTTGATGATTCCAGTACTATGGTCAGCGCCAGCATCAATGGCACTGTTAGTTCCTTACTCAGTGCAGACTTCTCCACTGACATCTTGGGCACCACTTACCTGCTCGGAGCACTGAAGGGCAAATGTTTGACCAGTATGGGGGGTTTTAACCCTGGAACTTCTGGGTTCTATGCTACACTCAGATTGTTCTAAGAGATGGAGTTTGTGTCTTGCATCCCACCATTTTCGGGTACAATGGAGAATGAAAGGTAAACAAAGCCACTGCTTAGAATGTCTGACTCACCCAGGCATACACAGTACCTACTGTGTCTATCTTTAAACAAAATTGGCCTATCACAGGGTTCTGAATCTGCCATCTTGAGGTTCTTGTACAAGGGCTGTCAATATGGGGAAGTGGTTTGGTGTTGTACAGGGAAGTCATGTCAAAGAATTTAGACCTGGACAAGGATTATCCAAGTCCAAAATGTTGTAAGTAAGAGAATGAAGGTTGATCTGAAATGTTTCAGATGCTTAAGATGAAGACAGCTCATGCTAGAGTTCTCAGCAAATAGACACAGCTAGGTAAGAGGGAACTGAGGAGGGGGGTCGCAGCCACCCTTCCCTTTATGGGAAGCACAAGGAGGCATATGGCACATGCATGGCCCCAACAGACACTACTAACAAGAGGAAGCTGGTCTCCCGCACATGCACGCCTACAGTGCACACTGACACATACTGTAAGAACTTATTTTATTTCTTTTTCCCTTCTCCATTTCTGTCAAACGCTCCCTTCCCCACTCCTCCCACCCCCAACCTCACAGTATCAGAACCTCAGGGTCACTCTCAACATCCAGGCCCTTAGCAAATCCTGCCAGTCCTTCATCTCCAAAATGTATCTGTTCCTTCTTATCACTACAGCAAAAACTCATGTTGATGCAGTCATTTTTTGCCTCCACTATTGCAACCTACTTCTCTCTAGTCTCCCACTTCAGCATCTTCAAAGGGCTCTTTCTAAAAATCAGTTTTTTCTCCTGCCACACTAGCCACATCAGTCTCCCCTCTAAATTTCTTCACTGGCTTCTCAGACTTCCAAATCAAAATTCAAGCCCTTTATCATCGTCAAGGTGCCTCCAGCTGTGCCCCTGCCTACATCTTTGGTCTCATTTCTTTCTTACTACACTCCTTTTGAGCCTCTCTCCTTAGACTTTACTGTCTTTCCTCTCACTCTCATTTTTAATTCTTCTTCCAAAATGTCACGAAAATGGAACAGGGTAGAACTGACCATTCAAATTCCTCCTTGGCTCTTTACTTCCACAAGCTTTTCAATGATAAATCATCCAGGTTCAAAACGAACAACAAACAAAAAACCCCTGTGAACCTTTCACCTATAAATAATGTATATTTCATGTATAATATTTTGGTTTGGAATGTACTCTTTTTTCTCTAATTTAGACTATAAACTCTTGAAGCTGGGATATTTTCTTTTTATGTTTGGTACTAAGCCAGCACATTTGCAGTTGTTAGTAATAACAATGCTAAAGCATTTTTCTCCAGATAGTACCTCAAAACAGCACAGTGACTCAGACAGAAAAAGCATTACTTACTGACTCATCAATCCTTTGGGTTATAATACATGGTAGAAGAACCACAAGTGAGAAAACCTTACAATATACTGCCATTAAGTTCACTTTATTAACTTTTATACCCCAGACACAAAGTGTGCGCATGTGACATACGTATGCCTGGAGAACTGTTATAGGTATACTATATAAAACAAACTAGTTTGCCTAGGAAAGATGTTCACTTAAAAAAACGTTACTTTACCTTTCTGTTTCTAATGTATCCACTGTATATTGCTTCTTTGTTTTTCTCCTTCTTTTCAAAATCCTCTTTAGAAAGGAAAAGCTCATGGACATCATGAGAATCTGCAGGTTTGCTTATCATCTGTTAAGTATTAAAGAAAAATAAATTTAAAAATCACAGTAGGACACCAAAATGAGTTATTAATAAGACAGTTCAGTTATGTGGTAGCAGATGAATTACCTCAATGTCACTGTGTAAAGAAATGCTAATAATTAAAATATGGAGATCATTCTACTTACTCTGGCAGACTGCCCAATGAAGAACACAGCTTGTTTGCCTCCAACACCAAAATATGAGATGTCACTATTTAAGCTGCGAGGCACTGGAGGAGGGCGTACATATCCTGAATGATCACTAAAAACAAAAAACTGTCTTTAATACTTTTTTCAAAACAAACATCACAAAACTGCTCAAGGATAAACATTTTTATTAAACACCTCCTGTAATCATCACAGTCCCTAAAGTTTTTCATTCACAACATTTCTCATTCAAGACCTCAGATCTATGTTAAGAGCATACATTTAACACTGTAACTAATATCCAGGTTGTAGTTTTATCAATCTCTAAAAAGAAAAAACAAAGTTGATTACTTAAACTGAAACATGTAGGTCACAAGGTATTCTGATTAACATGACTTCCTAGCAAAACTGTTTATAGGTTTCCCCTCGCCTCTCCCCAATGAGCCACGTATACAATTTTTCTGCCCTTCCTGTGGCAGAGTAAGTCTCTGTTTGGTTTTCTGAATTTTAACTCTTATTTGAATTACCTTTATTCTTATAACCATTTTGTTCATACCCATAGGCCCCCTACAAACTACAGAAGGAAAATGACTCGGTGCAGTCAGTTTCCTTCTGCATCCAGTTCTTTTTATAAAGACATAAGGCACAGTCTTAAAAATATTTCTCATAATTGCCAGATCTGTGTTAAAAACATTTGAGATACCATGATGATAGCCATTATACAGAAACTTAAGATGACAGAATGGTAAAAGACGACAGGATTAATCCTAGCATAGTTTCCCCTTTGCATACAGTACATGGAACCGCTATAAAGAAACAGACTAGGAAGTTAATTTCTCTTCATAACACAGCCCCTTTTTCACCACAGATTTTTGGGTCAGGAAGATGAGAAAGGTTGCTGGACATCCTTTTGAATATGGTGCAGGTTTGGCAAGCCAGTCAACTGACCGGTCAAATAATATGAACTGACCACCTACTATTTGACCACAGTCATGGTACCATTCTTTCATTTTTTTAAAACTTCATTTCATTGTGTGGGGTTTTTTTTTTTTAAGTTAAAATAACAATTAAGTAACTTGTTTTTTGTAATTCGGCATAAGTATGTATATATTTAAGGCTAAGTCTATTGGAGACCATGAAGTCGTTTTTGTTACTGTTCCAATAAATTAATGCTTTAAAATTATTTGACCAGTATTTGACCAATTATTTTTGACTGTCAAATGCCCAATTCTAATGTGGTGTGACAGAGGTAGCTGCAGGTGCCCCCAATACTTAAGCCTGACTCCAAAGATATGGAACTTGATGGACAAACTCATCTGGTTTGGCAAATCCTTTGTTCCTATAATAGAAATGGATAGGTTGATCTGCATTTCAAATTGAAGCAGTCCGAAATAGAAGCAAGATGTGAATTACTGTCATAACATAATTTGTAGAACACAGTGCAGTCTCTTTTGGTTGTAGGCACCCATCCACAATTGGCTAATTCGGTGCATAGCTTAGGTATGTTCCTGGATTCCCCACTGGCACTAAACCCTAATATAGCAGCATCCACGAGTAACAATTTCTACCATCTCCAGTTGCTTTGGGCACTCTATCCCGTCCTAGTGAACAATGACCTGACCTCAGTTTTTCATATCTTCATCACCTCTCAGCTGGGCTACAGCAATGCAACATACCCAGACATGAAGCCTGATATTAGTAATTCTCTATTTTAAAAAATATACTCTGTAAAGATCTTCACAACTTGTCAGTTTTTCAGTTCTGTGATTAAAAACAATGTATAAAGCTTTCTAACCTTTCAAAGTCACCTTGTCTTGTAAATTTTGATAATCTATACACAGCCCAGTTGTTAAGCTGCTTAGAAGTCATCCCTCTTCCATTATCAATCACAGCAACAGCTGGTTTTCCTTGAGACTCATCAAATAACTGTTTGGAAAGAAAAACAAGGAGAACCAAAATGAATACATGAAATCCTAAATTTGAATAGAGTATAAGATAGAGTATTCCTTTTGTATCTTACCAATTTTATCTGTATGCTTCGAATACCAGTATTTCGAGAAGTAGCTGACAAAGAATTGTCAATCAACTCAGCAAAGGCAAATGCTAAGGAAAAAGAAAAAATTGTTAGTAATTATTGATCTCTAAAAGTAGCAGTAGGAAAATACCCCCACACTTGAACCAGTGTTCCCTGGGCATGACTCCCAAGATAAGTGTGGGCAATATATGACTGACAATGAAAAATACACCTCTACCCCGATAGAATGCTGTCCTCGGGAGCCAAAAAAATCTTACCGCGTTATAGGTGAAACCGCGTTATATTGAACTTGCTTTGATCTGCTGGAGCACGCAGCCCCTCCTCCCACCCTCCCCCCGAGCGCTGCTTTACCGCGTTCTATCCGAATTCGTGTTATATTGGGGTAGAGGTGTACTTGATCCACCATCACCTGTTTTAAGGTTCATTCATGTGTGTTTATTAGTGTTTGCTGAGCATATTCAAGTCCCCTACCAGGCAAGTGGCCATTAGTTATGGTTGGGAACATAACTGAATTAAAGGGGTTCCCCATCCCCACCCCCAACACAGGAGACAAACCCGTTTCTCCTTATTCATTGGTGGAACATACTCTGGATCAGTTATCACAATCAGGAATGAATTTCTGGGACATCAAGTGTTTAACAGACTGCCTTTCATCTACAAAATTTTATGGGACAGTCTGGATTCATTAAAAAAGGGATTGGGCACAGGTGGCAAAATTTACAGAAAAAAAAATTATTTAAGTTTAGTCAAGACCACAGAAGATGAAGAAAATTGCAGAGGGAGCTAAAAAATTTGGTGAATGGAAGTACAATAGCAGATTTGACAAATGCAAGGCAACACACACTGGAAGAAGTAATCGGAACTTCTCAGACAACTTTTAACATCTCAGTAAAAAAGAATGGGACATCATTGCTCAGTGAATACCTTTGCTCAGTGTGCAGCAACAATCAAAAAAGCAAACAAAATATTAGAGTGCATAAAGTGATGATGAGCAATAATAAAAATTAAAATGCCATGATTTAGAACAATCTGTCATAAGATGTTACTTTCTGGTAATTCCACCTCAAAAGAAGATATCACAGAAGGAGGGGATGGGCAACAAGTGATAAGAAACATGAAAAAACCTCTATAATAAAGAGTGTTTGAAAAGATTAGGACAGTTTACCTTAAAGGAGATCTATAAGACTGGACAAGATAATGGTACACAAAATAATGAATAGTTTACAGAGAGCAGATCAGGCATGTCTATTCACCCTCTCTAATACTAAAACAGTGGGTATTCAATTAAATTGAAAGGCAGCACATTTAAAACTGTTAAGAAGAAATACTTTTCCCACAGAACATACAATTAGTCTGTGAAACTCATTGCCACAACATACCATAGAGGAAAAGGGCTATGCAGTATTCAATAGAAAGAACAGGACACACACATGAATAATGTCATCCAGACGTAAAATAGTATACATTAAAATAAATAGTCTTTGAAAGGGTTATAAACCCTTATTGCTTCAGGAAATAAACTAATTTGAAATGGGGATTAGGAAGAAACTTTCCCTGTGTGCGGGTTATTCCATAATTGCCTACTGCTGGGCTCTTGCACCTTCCTCTAAGGCACCTGGTACTGGCCACTGTTGGAGATATGAACTACTGGTCTAAACCAGTAAGTCTTTTCCTATGTTCCCAAACACTCCAACTGCCACAATAATAGTCATCAACAGACTAAACCAAAACTGCAGAAGAAAATAGGAATATGGTAATCCAAAAGATTGTGAGTAATTGGTGTTTGCTGCTGGCGAAAAGAAATAGGGATAGTTGTGAGCCACATCTTATTATAATCCAGAATTCCATGCATGAAGTGATGTGCATATAGTTCTACGACTGTGATTTTTCTAGGCAGTTATGAGCCTAGAAGGACATGCATACTAAATAAAGAAAGCAAAAGTTTAGTAATATTTAATTAAGTTGGTACACAAATTAATTTGTACCTTGAAATGCAGCAATGATCAGAAAAATGACCAATATACAAGTGACACCTTCTTTAAAGAGTACATCAGCTTACTTTATTAACAAAGATAACTAGTTTCTATTTTTTAATCCTGTCAGCCCAGAAGAGCCAAAACACTGATAGGGACAGCGAGCAGGCTTGTACTCAGACTCATGCATCAATAAGTTCAAAATACAAAATCTACTACAAGTGCAGGCACTAGAAAGAAAGGCTGGGCTTTCATATCTCTGGCTTAGTTTGCAAAATTCTCAACAAAATATTTTTGCTTGTAAAATAAGAAAATTTCTTCTGCAAGTAACAAATGCAGTAAACTTGGAACTTCATGATGCTATTTTTAGAGTCACTTTCTAAACCAGGAGTTTAAAAGTAAAGGTGAACTTAAACTGAAAAAACTTAAGTTTAAATGCTCCAACCGAAGTGACAAAAGGTAAAATACAAGTGAAATTATTAAAGACAAGAAATGCCTTGCTCAAGAAGGTCCTTCTAAGGTAAATGATGATTAATAATACATGAAAAACAGTTTTTAGATTATAAAAAAATCTGAATACTTACGCAAAGGATTTTGCCCTTCACTAGCATAATATTCATACATGCCACTTTTGATAAGTGTGTCATAGTGTGGTAGGAAGTCAATTCGCTCCTTTGTTGCTGAAAGTAGTGTCTGATCAACTGACTGTAGCAAATACAAAGTAACCCCTTCTTGAACAATTTCACCTGCAATGGAGTTAAAATATTAAATAAAAAGGAAAAATCCCTCCAGATATTGGTAAACTCCTGCCCCAAAATCTGGAAGATAGTGGAAAGAGAAAAGAGGTTCATCAGACGTTAAAACTATCTATGAAATGTTCCAAGGAGGAACAGTAACTTAATTCAAAAGCTTTTCATATCCCCAAACTTAATAAAGTTAGTACTTCAATTGGAAGTACTGACACACTATCTTTGCAATTTCAAAGTTTAGACTTTTATTAGCCGAATGAAAAACATAACACTATAACGTACAGTGGAGAAAGCATTTTGTCATAGCCAAAAAGACTGAGATTTCCTTCCAGTTTTGCAGCAAAGATTACCTTTTGATTAAACCGAAGCAAAACAAAAGTGTGGCCAAAAACCAAAAAACCCCACAAACTTAGAAAAGTAAGTAAACAAATGTATACAGTTATATTGGAAATACTTTTTCAACTTTACCTATAGTGTTCCTCACCTGCTAACGTTATAATAAATCCACTACAAGAAAACAGCTTAGTTACAGTCACAGTAAAAGACTGATCTGTGTAACAGTTACAAAATGTTGTGTGTCACTATCCAGGTATGCTTAGCTAACCCCACTTTTTGCTCTATTTACATAAGAATGTAAGCTTCACATAGAATGAGATGTCATTTGGCAGACATTACTTATCATGTAACTTAACCACTTTGTTAGTTTTTCAGTGCCCCAATGGTTCCTGGAAGAGTTGGCATTATTTAGAATTGCAAAATAAAAATACTAACCTTAACTATACATTTGACAACATTGCAAATTATACTTAGCACATGGAAGTACTTTATCTGATGACAGACAACTAAATAATAGTTTCCATCATCAAAAACAGTGTGTGTGTGAAATTTGTTCCAAGATGGATTTTCGTAACAATTTTGCAAGGCTTTATTATATAAAGAAGCTTTGCACTTCCATTTGCTATTGTATATGTAGCATAGGAATACAAATAACATTGTTATGGTTTTGATACAGTTATGCACTGGACAGCTGTTTTGGAGTGAGATTTATGGTAAATAATATATTACACTTACTGAAGTTGTCATCTGTAACCTCTTTTCTATTGGTTGTTGTGATAACAAAGTTATCTTCAGCAGAAATGCAGAATGCCTACAAAATCGTAAAAAAGCCAGTTATAAAAATCAGCTGTTACATAAAGTGAAGGATAGATAAAAAGAAAGAAAAATTTAAAAAGAATGGTCTCCTTTCCATTCATTTTGTCATTGATGCATGAACAATGATCAAATATGCAATATTTTGCCCTCAACATTACTTTACGAATTGACAGAATACAATCCAATTCCAAGGAGCTCTTTTTCACTTGCTGTTACATCTTTGCAGAATGCTCTGGTATGCGAGGTTTCCTTACATGATTTAAGCACCATCAACTAGACAGCTGTGCAAGGCTTTGCGCAAGGAGACACTGTCTTGTAGGCAATCATCTTAGAACCTGACACATGAAATATGAATAACCGTAATTTAAACTGCATAGCTACAAATATTAATGATCATGAAATAACCCATGCCTAGTATCTGACTACAATATCCACACAAAGGGAATTATACTTCAGTTAAAATGGCATTTCTTTTACTTTTCCTAAAATAGCATCTTCATTCAAAGTGGCCATTTGTTCTCACATTAAAATAAATAAAATAAAAAATAAAAATCAGTTTTTTATAATACTCTAATTTTGAATATTGCAGTCAAGTCCCATCAAACTTTTCTCCTTTCCAAGTTTAAAAATACATTTTTGGTATTATCATAAGCCTGACATACCTCTGACAACCTTCATTACCTCTTAACTATATCAATCTCTGCTATAGCTTTCTTCAAAATTTGTACTCACTAGTTTGAATAAATGTGTACTTTTCTTTGATATAGTAACTTCTGTATTTTCTATACTTCTAATATATACAAACATCTTATTTGTCACTTAAAAATGATGCTGCACACCTAGTAAATATCTTAATTTAACTATTCATTAGGATGCCGAACGCTTCCCACAACCCTCACGGGATCCTGTAAACTGAATACCCATTAGCATACAAGTTTAGCAAAAGCAGATTAAACATGCACTACTTTATTATAAGGAGAGTGGATATCAACCCTTATATTTAGGTTGCCTAACCTTTTCTATTAGAACAGATTCTTTCCCTAAGAAGCTCCAACATCTCCATTGTTTGCAACAAATTTGGAAGAGGCTACAAAAATGCATTTTCTTTGTCCCATGAAATTCCCTTCAAGTTTGATATTTGTAAACTATTAAATGTCACCATTTCCCGTCTGTTGCTTACACTCCTGAGGAAAATCTTGCCAGCATGCCAAAACAACAAATACTCTAAAGAGCCAGATCAATGCCACTGACAAAGAAGAAGCAGCATCACAGCACAGGAGAGCAACTGGGTAATGCCATAACAGCTGGAGCAGTAGAGCAGGTGCTACAAAATGCCAAACTATTTCATTCTGCCAAACAGACGGAAGATACTGATCTAAAAAATATGTTTCAGTCAGTAAGGATTGGCAGGCTCTAGAACCCAAGGTTGCACGGTCCTGGGTGATTTAACACTTCCACTGAGGAGCTGGGTTGAGTAGTATCCAACAATTACTGGACAGTTTGGTACTTCCTGCAGTACCTCCCAAAGACACCAGAACAGAACCCTGTGGCCGCCTGATTGGTCCACACCAATTATTTAAACCAGGAAGTTCGCCTAGTCAGCCCTCTCAGGAACAATGAAGACTCACACTCGCTATCGCTACAGACCTTGCCTTTCATCCAGTCTTGGACACCTGCCTTTGACCCCTGCCTCACTTGGCTTACTAACTAGTCCTGTCTCCTGCCTTCAACTCCAGCTCAGCTTGACCATAGTACTAGTCTCTTGACTTGGCAACCTGTCCCAACTCCTGAATTCAATCCCAGCCCTGCGAACACGGGGCCAGCTGCCCATGCCCCGGCCATTACAATAATAAACATCTCAAGAGAAACATGTGTTAACAGCTTTGAAGGACAAGGTCATGGCTTTATGAATTAAATTTGAGAAGGTTATTCTATACATAAGGAGCAGCACAGAAGGAAGCATGAAAGTACTTGTAGGAAAAACAGGAAAATGGACAAAGAAGCTTGGCACTGATTGCAGAGCAGAAAGCGTGGTGGACAATGATAAAGTTGAGTGGAAGGCCTTCAGAGGACAAGCAGATTTTATTTGATGCAATGGAAAAGGTGGAAGGACAGGAATGAGACAGTCAAATCAACTGGCCAAAACAATGATCTTAGCTGTAGCATTTTTGACAGATGTGAGGGGGCAAGATGTATGGCAGGAGGACCAGGACCAGAGAGAAGCTGCATTACACAAAGAGGGAGGGATAACAGACTGGACAAGAATTTTGGCAATGTAGACAGAAAGGAAAGTATGATTATTTAACCTACTGTGACTGTGATTCTTTGAGGTTTTGTAGTCACTGTGGACCTCATGGTTAAGTGTACATGGGTCTCACGTGAACAAGCTCAGAATTTTTTGCATAGCGGTGTCCTCTGTGGCCACACATGCACCTTGCACCTCCTCAAGCTCTCATGCAAAGCCATAAAGGGCAGAGCAGCTGCAACATTCCACCATCCCCTCACAATTTGAAGCCTGTGGTAGCTGGGAACCCAAAAAAAGCAGGAACAGAGGCCGGGTCATAGTAGCCACACTGACAACATTTTGAAGAATAAGTTCCTGTAGATAGGCAACTGTTCTTGATTCTTCAAGTGTCAGTATAGATCTCTATGTAGATGACTGGCAAGTAGTATCCTCTTAGGTGGTGGGAATGAGAAGTAGCAACTTCATCAGTTGAAGCATTATGCATTGTACTTAGCTGCCATAGCTGATGCCAAGTTTGTGAGAGCAGTACTACAATCACTGTTCAAGTCTCAGAAAAACACACATTGCTGACGCAGGCCAAGAATATCACTTGAACTCTGGTGGAGTGAGCCTTGAAGTCTGGCAGGAGAGGTATACCAGCACATGTGTTACCTATTTTGTTATCCTCTGTAAGGAAATGGCTTGACTTTAGAAAAAACAGCCATAGCTCTAAACAGACAGGTCAACAGTCTGATTAATTTGGTTCAATCAATGTAGTAAAGCAAAGTCTAGTGTGTCTCTCTTTTCTCCTGATGCAGAGTGTGGCTTTGGGAAGAACTTAAGAAGACAGACAGGTTGATCAACTGATTTAGGTGAAAAATTTTCAGACCACCTTATGAATAAACAGGTGCAGTTGCAGCACCATCTTATTCCTATGGAATGTTTTATAGATGTGGTTCAGATATAAGTGGCTGAAGCTCACTGACTATTCCTGACTGAAGTAATAACCATTAGGAAGTCTGTCTGGAGTGAGGTGGTGCAGGGAGCAATCTGACAGACGTTCAAATGGAGGCTTCACAAGTCTCAGATGAACCAGATTGAGGTCCCAGGCAGGAGCTGGTTCTTTGACTGGTGAGTGTTGTAATAGTCAGTGTGTAATAGTCACTTGAGAAACTTGATATCTTGGGATGAGTAAACACCAAGAACGACCTATAGGCAGATGGAAAGCTAAAATCACCATAAGGTGGACTGTAATAGAGCTGAGCAAAAGGCCTACCTGTTTTAAGTGCAATAAGTAGTTGATGGTCTGCAGGAACGAGTCCAGACCATGTGGGACTGCCAATATTGAGAAACTTTTCCTTTTAGACAAATACATTCTTCTGGTAGATGCTTTCCTGCTCTGTGTTAGTATTTCCTAGACCTGTAACAGGAAGTCTTTGTCTGTAGTATTTCACCAGCCAGTCAACAGCCACACCCTCAGTTGCAGTGACTTCAGGTCTGGATGGTATATCTGGCCATGGTATTGTAAAATCAGGTCCAAGAAATCTGGGAGTTGGATTGGAGGCAGGATGGACATTTGTAATAGTCTGTCAGCCGAAATGGCCTTGCCCCGTATCAAACTATGATAATGGCTTTGTCTCCTTTGATTTTGGAAATGATCCTGGAGTTCAAGGGAATCGATGGAAAGGCATACAAGAGGCCTTTTTCATGTTTGTAATAGGCTCTCATGAGAAGGAAGGTGTTTGGTAATGATCCTGGACTCGCCTCCTCTCTAGAACGAAAGTTCTAGCACTTGGAATTGACATTGGCGGTGAACAGCTCTATCATCAGGGTCCTCCAACATAGGAATATCATCTCTATGATGGACTTCCACAACAACCACTTGTGAGTGGTGACCAACTGTCTGATCAGGACGTCTGCCAGTTTGTTGCTGACACCTGGGAGATGAAGAGCCATAATGTTATCAACTGTTGGTGGTATGTCCAGGGTCTAATAGCTTCCAGGCATAAGAGAGAGGAGCGTGTGCCTCTCTGCTTGTTTATACAGTGCATCACAAGGCATTATGCATCAAGATATGCAGTATGAAGTTTTGCAGAACAAGTAGGAAGACTATGCAGAAGGATGTTCATATGGAACCCAATATCCTCTGGGGACTATGTCCCCGTATTTGAAGGTGGCCCAGGTGGACCTGCTCACCTGTATCAGACACATCAGTGATTACAGTCTTGTTCAGAGAATGGTACCTCTCCATGCATGTTTACAGGTTCTCTCTACCACCTGCGACTGCTCTAACTCTGGCTCAGATTGAAGTCTAGCAACTGGCACCATGTACCTGCATGCAGACATATGGCATAGCAGCCCCAGACACAAGCATACCATTGTAGACATGTTTTCTTCTATCCCATGCACCAGTGTTTGCATGGACAGGAACCTGTCTTCAGGGAGAGCATGCTCTCACTGAACCAAAGTCAATTAGGGCTCCTATGAACTCTATGGTCTGTGATGACCTGGAGAGCTCGATGGAGGAAACAGTGTTACCACCTTGAATCTGAGGTGGCATATATATTTGTTCAGTCTCTTCAGGCCTAAGGTAGGTCAAAGACCTCCTTTTCTTCTTTGGAATAAAGAAGTATAGGGAGAAGACTCCGCCCCTTTATTCTCACATTCTCTTCTACTGATCCAAGACAAAGCAATTAGTCCACTTCTGTTTGTAAAAGACTCTCATTAGAAGAGTCTATGAAAAGAGGATGGTAGTGAATGGAACTGTATAG